ATATCTGAGACGATCTGCAACCGGATTTAATTTCAGTCCTATTTCCTGCCCTCAACCAGCTTCCTGTGACTTGAGGGCAGCTAAGCTTTACATACAAAAGTTCATAAAACTTGTTTTTTAAAACCATTTCATCAGACCATCAAGCCACTCACACTTGCAGCCCACTCTTGCCGCTTCTGGAACTTACTCCCCTTCCTCTGCCCCTACCCACAGTCACAGAAAAGAAGCTGATATGGACAAAACCAGAATGGAGGCAGAGGTAAAAATATGAATTTTAATTCAGAGCGTTTAGTGTATTTACAACAGAAAGTTTCTCTCTGGTCAAGGGATGAGAGACTAAAAAAAAAAATCCACGTTACAAATGTGTGGACAACCTGCACCTGATGCAGGCTAATTTATTTTTGCTACTTCTGCTTCACCCAGGGTAATACCTGTGAGAAAGTGATGGTGAGAGCCTGGAGATAGTACTGAATGGCTTTCACACCCAAGTAGCAATCACAGAATGCAGTCCAGGAAGTAGTGTGAAGTTATTCCGCAGTTGCTAAAAAATATATATATATCTATATATATGTATGTACACATACACTGTCCCATTTGCAGTTAGATCAGATTCAGCAAATCATTCAGAGATAGATAAGCAGGCAGACACAAGCCTACTGACCTGTGTGCAAGCACAGATTTGCAGAGGCACTCGCTCTACCAGGTACCCAGGTACCTTCTCACCCAGACGCACGCATTCCTTCCCACTCTGCATGTGGACAAACACACAGGCGGCTGTTTTGTTAATGCTATCTTACATGGTTTCTAGGTACAGAAAAAAAAAAAAAACCCTTGAGAAAAAAAGCACCAACCCTCTCATCTGACTCAGTAGCTCAGGATCCATATTCCTCTTGAACCTGAGGGAAATGGGGATGTAGAAAGGATAACGTCCTCCCGTTTCTCACAGAGCCACCGCTTCTCCGTGACTCTTTTGTCACAGCGACAACTAGCTGATACCGAAAGGGGGCAATCCTCTCCTGCTCCCAGAAATAGGCACATCCTCCCAATACTTGCCTTGAGTCAGATTAAGCAATCCAAGGGCTGCAATGTGAGCCAGTTCAACTGTCTGATCTTGCAGAAAAACAGATCTGCAAAAAGTGAGCGAGTACTTTACCATCTGAACAGCCAGTTTAACCAAGTCACCCTACAAGTTTACCCACCATATGGTGGGTGGAGCACCTGTTTCAGCAACAACTTGTCCATAGAGCAGCTGATCTATCAAGTCACTCTGAGCTCCTGTTTTCATCTTAGTCAGAGTCCACACACCACTTCCTTTATGATGTCCTTTCCCTCACTGGGAAAGGAGTTGTTGCAGAGGTCTGTCTTGGCTTAAAGGTATTGAACTACATGGTGGTTCAGAAGCAAACCTCAGCCTTCCTCTGGCATAATCTGCTGCTGTCTCCAACAAACCCAGCTGAGGAGTGTTAGAAAGACAGGGAGGTACGGGAAAAGGAGGACAGGAAAGGAAGGGAGTTATGATCCTCTCAACAGTCATAGTGAGGGCAACTAAAGCAGAAATAGACTAAAGATGGCTGTGATGGCTGCAAGGTTGAGGAGAGTTCTGGTTTAGCAAAGCCTCCTGAATAGCTTCACTGCAGCCACTCAGCTCCATCTGGTTGAGAACACAGCTGATGTGCTCCACAGTTGCAGCATGGCCCATCTGCAGTTTCCACAGTCGAAGCATTTCATACTGGGCATCTCGTAAACGCCGATGTTCTATCTCAATTCGCTCTAGATCATAGTCACTCAGACCCAGGCGCCTCACAAACTCTTTCCACCGAGATGGCGGTACATGATCCACCACAGTGTAGAGAATAGCAGGGTCTGTGAAAAGAAAACAAATAAAGTGTGAGAACCAGGATTCTGCAGCCTCAAGGATAATGCAAATAATCCAGGGCTGGATGGTGCCTTGGGATCGTGCATTGCCCCCTCCTGTTCAGGTCTTCTACAGAGCAGTCACACAGACTTGAGTGATGTCCAGACGTGCTCTTATCCCTCAAAAAGCAATGGGAATGCTTCCATATGCTCTTGTATAAGGATACGAGCAGAGCTGAGGAACATGCTTAGGGCCTTGTTGCCACACATTCCTGCAAAAAGAATGCTCTGGGTCACCATCCCAAAGGCATTCAGACTGACAAGCATGTCACCACATATGACAATCCATTTTGCTGGTAGGAAAGGAGGACAACAGAAAGGCCTTGCATAGATGTTTAGCATACAGAGCCCCACAGGCTCTGGGCATGCTTCTGCCTTTGTACCATGCTGTGCATCAAGTAAACACACAGGTCATGTATACCACGTAAGGTCTGTCCAACATCCTCCTAGCTGCATCTGCATCATCAGGTTCTCGTTTGCCTGGGGAAGGAGGGGAGGATGGGGGAGTTTCGCTTACTGTCTGGAAGCTGTGTCTTCCTGGCAGGTCTGACACAGTCTGGTAACTCATGTGGGCTTTGCGGCAGAGGTGCAGATGGTGGTGTTGCATTCACTGATAATTCTATTTCCTTCTGGGACTCAGGAAGAAGGATGGAAATTTCACTTCTTTTTACCTCAACCTGAAAGACACATTTTCTTAGTCCAGAATCATGTGCAGCAGCACAATACATCTGTCTCCTGCAAGGAGTCACTAGCTTTATATACTAAAATTTATCCAAGATAAGTGGGGAGCAGGTGCTGAGGTTTTAATTCTTCCTATATACCTTGTTTGAGCAGAAGACACCAAACATTTCTTTCCAGCAAAACCCAAGGAGTTTAACTCTCTTTTGGCATCAAAAAACAGTAATCTGGAAAAAATATTTCTTTACAAAATCAAGTAAGGCTTGGACCCGAAATCACCACCATTCTAGAAGCTCCACATGCCACCTTTCCCATCAGCCTTCTCTGTAAGGCTCTGGAGACCCCACCTCAACTCCTGCTTGGGCCCTCTTAATTGCAGAACAACACTAGACCCAAGAGAACACTCTGAAGCAGCAGTGGGGTCAAGATCTGAAGTGAAGTAAAATTAGTTAAATCCTTCAAGCTTGGGATATATAGGGAGAAAAAGGATTAAGGACTGCTATCTGAAAAAAACGCATCTGGAAAGAAAAAAAAGCAAAAAGTCAGGAGTTTGAAAAGCATCCTCTAGAAGAGGGGGAAGTAAAATGTTAATGGCTCCACCCTCTACAGGAAAAGACTTCTGAATTAAACATTCCTATTACTCTGCTCATTTGAAAATACAAGGCCTGAAAACAGCCCATGGGGAAAAAATGCTACTCTGGATCCCAGGTTAACATAGTTGAAAGTGGAAGGAAAGCTCTCATACCCATCATCTTGCTCACCTCAGATACTGGCTCCTTGGTTGTCTGTGGCAAAGAAACTTTAAAGAAAAAAAAAGAAAAAGGAAAGCAAAAATTATTTTCACTTCCTCTTGTCCCAAAGAAAACAGGAAAGCAGCTATTCACAGTCCTGCCCTCAAAAGGTTTTATAGCAAAATGCACATTTCCCAGAGATAAGCTCACATGCACTTCCAGTCTCAGCTATGGGCATGGATGCAGAGTTGTAAGAACTGCACCAGTAAGCTCAGCTGTCGAGTTCTTGTGTTCCTCTGGCCTTGCAGCAAAGCAGAGTAATGGGATCCCACTTTTTCCCCTCACATGTGCGCGTACACACAAACACACAGAGAATAATGTCTATGCCAATTAATATCACTGCATATGCTTCTGTACTCACCACAGGAGTAGAAAGATGACGCTATCCCATTTTTCTGGACCAGTTTCACTACTTTATTTACAATGTAGAGGACAGAGATAACTCCAAATATTGCAACAATGATGCCAAGGACAAGGCTCCCATCTGGACAAAAGGAAGAGGGCAAATGAGTGAGTGACTGAGAACAGAGGAGGTAAGTGCTAGAGGAAGAATAGCAAGCGAAGATGTACAAATGGTAGGGAGAAAAAGAATAATGGTTTGAGAGAGTGCAGAAAATAACACTTTACAAAATGTATTAACAGTACAAAAGCCCACACTGAAAAGATTCCACTGTCCCTCAGCTCCCCCAGTACTCACTGAGCCCAGACGAAGTCGGTGAGGTAGTCACTGGGCTATGACACTGCAAGCATTCTTCTCCAGTGCAGCTGAAAGAGCAAGTCAGAGAGGTGAGCATGCATGAAACAAAATGCCAGCCATCTGCAACAATGCTAAGTAACAGACAAGTCAAGATGAGCCTGCAAAGCAGGGCAATGCAGTGTGGCTAGTGACTTTGGGTTCTTCATGGGCTGATGCCCACACAGAGAAGACTGGGGGTGGCAGAGGAGAAGACCCAATTGCCTCAGAAAGGCAGAATGTTGTAAAGTTATGTCAAGATGGACAGAGCCTTGAGAAGAATTTCTTCCCCCTATGGGGCTTGTGTCTGCTGTCTCTCCCACTCAGTGGAGGGGCATACAGAGAAAAAAAAGCTCACCTGTTGCAAGGCTTGCAAATGTTACTAAGTGTCAGGAAGAATCGAGGCTTACACCTGCAAATTGTGTCTCTGTTCTTTGAACCTGTAGAGAAAAGAAGAAACCTATTCTATGAAACTGTTGCCATAATCTGGATAGAAAAGAAAACAAAAGGAGAAAAATCCACTCCAAGATGGGTGGAAGATTACCCATCTTTGGGCCTGGAGAACTACTGAAGAAGAGAAGAAGGATTCGGTCTACGTTTGAGGACAGGGTTGAAGGAGGACCAAAATAATAAAAAATAAGGGTACCACTGCCCTGGTAGGTTGGGGATCTCTGTAGAAGCTTGGAAAGGGACTAAAATTACAGTGCAGCTGAAATTGGTCTAAGGGATAATGACAGTTCCAGTGCAAAAGTGGGGAAAGTCACTCAAGTTCAAGCATGACAGGAAGGGGAAATCAGATTAGTCAGGCAAAGATGAGGGAGAAGTGGTCCCTGAGCAGCTGGGACTGGTGAGGAAGTCAGTTCAGGGCAGGGAGAAATCACTTCAAGCCATGGGACGCATATCCACTCTTGTGATCTGCTATGCTGTGAGAGGAAGGGGTAAGAAATGAAAAAAACTATTGCTTCTAAGCAAGTCACAGTATAGAGACCAAGTAAAACAGGTGTGGGGAGGCACAGACAAGAATAGTGATGGAAGGACATAAAGCTGCATGAGGGGAGGTTAAAAGGTACCAGAACAAGCAGCATGCATTCTGTGACAAGCGAAGGACAGGACTAGAACAGTTCTTCATCAGCCAAGAGGGAAGGAAACTGCTCAAGGGCAGTGTACAACGATGGCCCTTGAGGCTAAGAGTAAGCGTGGAAACTGTGACAGAGGAGGATTACTGAGCACCAGAGGGAATCCATTTACCAGTTAGACAGCAAATCTCATGCTAGGTAGGGTAAGAGATGAGACAGGGATCAGGAGAAGCAGAATTTGCAAAGAAGAGGGGATAGCTTTAGGACAACAAGGTAAGGAGCATTTAAGGGACATGAACAGAATTAGACTACAGCAGAAAGTGGCGAGCAGCAAGCAGTATCTGGTTAAGATTCTCCAGCTCTGACTGGGGATGAGGCAGCCTGGGACAGCTAACACGGGTACTTCTCCCAGACACCTGCACTATCCCTAGGTCATGCCCAATGCCAATGGGTACAGTTTAGCATTACCCGAGCAGCTTTTTACTTTAGAACGCTGCACAGTATGCTGTGGTGGTTCAGGAACTGACTGACAAGCAGTTCAGCTGGGCACTGGGACCAGCAGTATTTTCAGCCATTGTATTCAATGTGCTTCCAGTAGTTGGTGAGGGAAATGCAACGAGAATGAGGAGAAAGACAAAAAAGGAAGGCAAGGGGGAAATCTGCTTTAGAGCACAAAGACCTTTCTTCAGTTCCTGCAAGGCAGAGGTACCAAAACTAAATAGAATACATCTCCTCACAACAGCCAAAACCAAGAAACCGTTCAAGGACAACATGAAGGTGGAAACTGTGATAGAAAATGGACTGATACCAAGGCAGGCAAAAAATGGCAGTCTTTCTGAGGAAAGGGGGCAGGCAAAACCAAGAATAGTTCCAAAACTACAATCACTTCAGGGCAAGGTGCTGCAATGTGTCAGAAAGTGACCAGAAGGCTGTTAATGTCTACCCTAGTACAGGATGTCTGTACTGGACCCATATCCATGCTGTACTCACAGTTGGCGATAATTCCATTGACACATGAGCTGCAGTTCCTACACTGGAAGAGATCGGACAGTCCAATCTGATATTGATTCTTCCGACAGCCACATACGGTATCTTGCTTTGGGGTGCAGGGGCTCTCTACTATCTGCTGGAATTCTGAGGAATGAAAGAAGTGATTATTTCAACCTCTTCCTTCATCTTCAGCTGAGAGCACTGTTACGATGACAGGTATTGTTATCCCCTAATCTTCCCAGAAAAAGTCCAAAAAGGCCTGCAAACTCTGCCTCAGACTGTAGTAACTTGGTAGCCCTTCTTCCTGGTGTA